CTTTCGCTTTATATAGGATTTGGTGGGCCTTCAAATAGTATGCTATTCAATTTCGATCAAAATGAATATTCTAGAGAAGAAAAAAACGTGAATCAGTTCACATCGAAAATTCTACAAAGCATCGGACGCACACATGCACAAAACTGAATACAAAGGAGACGAAAAAAGACGTGCTGGTGTAAAATGACGTATACAATTTATCTTGTTTTCAATATTCTCAGCGATTCCGTTTGGGTTTGTTGTCTTTATTTTTCAATGGATTGATACAAAAGCGATGTGAACATCGTCATTGCGATGTTTTTTTTTCTGTAGCCGGGCGTTTATTCACTACCGCTCCTAGACAATACATTTCAGTTTCGTTGAGCGAATTCACTTAATTTATTGGAATTGAAACAGCGAACATTTATTTATATTTAAATACAGCGGACCAACCGCACAATTCTTGAATGACTCTTTTAACTGTTGTTTGTTGTTGTTGTTTTTGTTGATATTTCATGTGTTTTGTTGAAGAAAAAAATTTATATATAAAAAGGCGCTTGGATATAAAACAGAAGATACAACATAAATTGTTTCATGATGCACTTGTGTTTTGTTGTCTTGTCTTTGGATAAAAATCATTGTTTTCCCTCCCATTGAGTGCTCTTGTCGGTTGTTCGGTTGTTATTTTTGTTGTTGACTCACTTATTTTTATGGGAAAAGACGCCATTCCATGTCTCGCCATGGTCAAAAGTTCATTATCATTTTGGGTTACATTTAATCTAACAGAAACAAAAACACGTTCATTTTCTCGGCTTTTGCGAAAAATTCGGCATTCAAGGCAACGGCAAGCCGAATTGATTGCATGCACATATTCATCGACAGTTCCCAAATGGATTGTTTTTGTTTCTATCAGAAAAAAATGTTAATTCACCGCATAAATATACATTTGAGCGTAAATATACAAACAAATAAATAACACCGCAAAACAAATGTGACTATAGAAACAGGGGAAAATATTTACCGAAAAAAAATTATTCATAAATATATTCAATTCGAAAAGCAAATCGTAGCCTTGCACTATATCTCTCGCCTTTTGCTTCTATTTTGTACATGTGAACAGCCATTTTTCGTGTTATCGATAATTTTTTATGATATGCGAATCGGTTTGCTGGTGCGCGCGCGCTCGCCCGACGCATAGTCGTTATGCTTGATATGACTATTCGGTGGTTCAGAAGATATCATATCGATATGAAGAAAATGCTTCGTATTTTCGTTCGACCCAAAACGATCTATAGTTCTTTCAATAAAACATAGTGCGGTAGCTTGGCGTACATGCAAATATTGCGGCGAGAAAAAAGACTTTAAATGGAACACGAAGCAACGATGAACATAGCAACTCTCACACGTTCTCGCCTCGCCATCGCAACAACTGCAAATAAACATACGAGAACTAAATTGAACCGAACGAACCAACAAATAAAACATATTATTCTGATATATGCGGTTGTATTGTGTATATTAAACATTAAGGGGTGTTGTTTTGTTTATGCGCAACAATATATTTCAACAAGGGATGTTGCAATTTTATTTATGGTCTCGCAACGCCGAAAAGCACACACACATACATCCATATCGCACATGGAATGGCGTATGTGTGATAAGAAACTATGTGCTGCGTATGCGTTCGAAAGTTCGAAATGCAATACTTGTCGCTGTCTAATAACGTGCTTACGAAAGGCAAATTTATACACACAAACTCGATCATAAAAGAGAAGAATTCTTATGTGGCGGCGGGTGAGTACGTTCGGGCGCAAATCTACATGTTTTCCACATTAAAAATGCTTCATTAGACATTCTTATCTCTTATTCTTATGAAGAATTATTGCAAATGGATGCTGCGGTGCCAGGGGTGTGGGACTAAAGATGCGAACGAGTTTTTGGTTTTATCTAATTAAAGTTGTGCTTCTGTCGCTGTCGCCGCCGCCGCTGCGGTTCAAAATTCTTGTAGATTTTTCTTCTTTTTGAGAATTTAACGTAAATTATTTTATTCGGTAACTTTTTCCCCTCTCTTGGCTGCAGCAATACGGTGTCATGATTATTATTCTTCTCGTAAAGTTTTTCAATGTTAATCACCTTTGAAATTGCAGCAAAATGTCAATTTTCTAGCTCCATTTTTTTCCAAACGCCAATACTTTGGAACATATGTGCTTCTAACAGTGCCATTTAACGCTTAATTTCATACATCACGGAACAAGAGTATCTATCCTTCTATGAACCCCCACACTCCTTCACACACCTAATAAATTCATGACAAGAGAGAATACAACAGCACGAAAAAATTCAAATGCGATTCCATTTTTTGCCATTGTGCCAACCAAATCCGAATGTTGTTGCTCATCTCCGTTGCAAATCGACATACACACACGCAGGCATTAAAACACACAAATACCGCTGCCAGCAGTAGAATTTATTTGTTTCGTGGTGGAATTATCGTGTTGATATATGAAAGCAGAAGCGACAATAGTTAAACCATTTAACATTTTGTACGTTTTAACAAAGGCTTATGGAGAATTAATGGGTTTTATATTTCGCCAGTGCAAGCGAACCGAGCGACCGAGTTAAATATTGGGGATTCTTGGGTGTTGTATGTGTGTGCAAAATTCACATGGACATCGACCGAATTTATGGGCGTTTTTTTTGTGTATGAGTGTTCGCATGAAAGGATAGAAATCATAGCAATCAAAGCGATTATTCATACACGAGCTTCATTACATTCGAGTGCCTGTCACTCAATCGAACTTGCCATTTTTATCATGGATAAGGAGTTTTTTTCTTCGGACAATATTTTGTTCTCGCTCCTCGCCCTCTTTGTTGCAAATTATTTTCGGACGCGTTCATTTTTCCATAATATTTACTATGTCTCGAGTCAATTTATCGTCGCTGTGTTTAAGGTCCTCTGCATGGTATCAACTTGAAGTTGTACAGAGCTCGCTCTTTCTCTCGCCGCAGCACAGAGAAAGACAATAACCATTTTCTTCAACGCTCAAGTATTTCACACGCGTAAGCGGTCTAATTTAAATTTTTCATCGTAAATGGAATTATACAAAATAAACACAAGCATCGTGGTGTACATTTATTTATTTCGTGTGAAGTACGGCAGCGGTGGAGCGAGTCAACATCAAGTGCAATTTTTTTTCTCCTTTTGCCGCCTTGTTCGCTCGTTGCGCTAGTCAGCAAATGGAGAAATTACACCAGGAAAATAGAACGTTTTGAATAAACATGAGGCAAATGTTCTTCGTTTCGATTTCCAAAAAATAGACAGTGCAAAAACGCATGTAGCAGAGGAAAAAAACCAGAGAGATAGAAAAAAAAAGCAGGCGAACAGATCCAGCCGTGGCTTATTCTCGCTACAGCAACGATCATGGAATTATAAATAAAAAAGAAAGAATGAGACGAGCAAAAAGCAGAGACGAAAAGAGAAAGAGAGAGAGAGAGACGGGTTGTGCTTAGTTCTGCTGAGTGGTGCTTTTGCTGGCTTATGAACTTATTAAACGTTTGTTGGCAACAGAAGAAAAACTCGAAAAACGCAATATTTTCTGCGGTGCTGCATATATTTTCCGATTTAGTTTTGTTGTTGGCTGCTGCTGCGGTGTGATCTTTTCTCGCAAAAGTTTTGCTGCCCAAACTCGGTCTGCACTTCTGCAATCGTATTTTTCCAATTGCTCTTGCTCTCGTATTTTCCATTGCAGTGCATAAATACTTTCATTCTTTCGGAACGATTTACCAACCGAAATAAATCCTAAATTATGCACATTTGAATTTTGGATCGGAGCTAGCAGGCACACACATATGTATATACATAAACATATACACCAAGAGCGAAAGAAAGAAGATTTAAACCAGAATTTGACGCCATAATAATTTTTGGGCCATTTTATAAATTACAGATTTGGTCGTTATTTCATTTCTTTATTCATTCCGAGGAGCAATTTAATTTGTTCCCGAAAAACTGCTGCCGTTCTAATAACAAAGTATGCAAGTGCTTTAAATAAAGGCATCGCTTTCATAAACTCCCCGAATCCCAACTCAAAGTGATATATTTTCAACAAATTCTATTTATTAAAAAAAATATATGCGACGCACGATGCGAAACAAATATGTGAATAGGGTGTGTGATAAGTTTTGTGGTGAAAAATATGCGCTTCATGTCTACTCAACGAACGCACATTTGGCGCGCTCACTTTCCCCACTTTTTCTTTTCATGAAATATTTGTGTGTATTATTAATAATATCTCGTTAATACGTGCACATATATTAAATGATGCGAGCAAATACATGGCATCCACGCCAAATATGGCATACCATCGTATATTTGGCGGGGCGCACACAGCAACAAACACATAAACCAAAATAATGAATGGCACAGGTGTATGTTTTTGTTCTATTCTACTGAAGAAAGAAGACGCTCTCACCGGAATCAAGCAAGCGAACGAACACACGTTGTGCTCTCTCTACCATGACAATAAGACTATCTTATGACTTGAAATACGCAGCTACCACTGTTACACCATCATGGCAACTTGAACCTGTACTTCTTTTTATTCGGATCCAACTCCAAAAACGAACACCGAAAACTCTAGCGCACTGCATGCGCCTCCGCTAAATGCACTCTTAAGCTCAACTTAATGTAATAATTTATTGCTTAATTTTTGCAATTTGTTTAAATTACACACATTACACGTGCACCGCTCATTTTCGCTCATTTATCTTATCTCGCAAACACTCACATTTTTCAAAATGTGCATTTCTTTCGATTTCGAGCTAATTTTCATTAACACAAATTAACATTGAATGCTCAGACGGTGTTTATTTCGTTTCGTCATTCATTCAGGTGTATCACAACCAACACTTTCATTTGATTCACGCAATTTCTCAGGCAAATTACTCATTAATAAGCAAGGCTTGCAAATTCTAAGTAAACAAATGAATGAATAATCAATTTCAATTTTGTCTCGTTCCAGGTAAACGATATGCAGATTCGCTATCGGGGTCATTACTTCCAGATTGGATAGGTAAGTCACCTTCTTCATTTATTTTATATAATTTTGTTTTGTTTCAAGTTACTTTAAGTTTTTCATTTTTGTGTTTTCAATTCGGTTCGATTGTGTTACTAAATTCATTGATTTCGTTCGTCTCTCTATCAATTTCGTTTCGTCTTCCAAATTCGCCATCTTTTTTTCTTTCGTTGTGTGTCATTGAGCAGGTGACCTGAAAACTTGATTTCGGTGGCCATGCTAATGTAAATATTTGTATCAATCAGAGATTTCTTTGTTTCTTCATTTCGATTGAGTTTTAACCTTTTTGAAACTAACCAAATTTCTGTGCCAAAATTGAGTATTTTCGGTTTTTTTCTCTTCCTTTCCATTAAATTTTATTTTTCGTTTTTTGAGTTGAACACGAAGAAGGTACTTAAAAAACAAATCTGGAAAGGTAATGCTGACCACTAACACTTTTACAATATTTCGTTTCATCGCCTGTGTATCGAATTTTTGTGTGCGTAGCAAATTTTTTTTTTCATTTTGTATACGCTTTGTTTGTTCTTATTTTTCTGGCTGTTGAATTTGATACGTGTGTTTCATGAATAATTCAATGTTTTCGCAGAATAATTATCATCTCATTCACACAAAACAGAAAACAATTTATGCTTGATTTGGTTTTTTTGTTTTCTTGCATGTAAATTGAATTTTTGCAATCAAAACTAGCGTCACTTTCCGTTTTATTTGTGCGTTTCTATGCAAAACCCATAATATTCATTAAAATCGTATAAAATTTAATTTGTATGCAGTTTCACTCGTATGGAAACACGCATTAAGCATGCAAGTCTGTCAAGCGAACAACAACAACAAAAATGCACTGAGAAAAGTGAAGAAAAAAAAATCGGCTAATAAATTTAAATATGCTTTTTCGCACCCAATAAATTAATAACAATATAATTAATAACTATCATCGGGCCGCTATACAACGCTATTTCAGCTAATTATTTTAAAGTGTATGGACCAAATTGATTTAATCGCCTGAAAGAGCTGATTTAACGCCTTCGTCTTTTTTGCGCTATTTATTTTATTCATCTGAAAAGTGTAGCAGATACACACACACACACTCGAGCTAACATTCACTCACTCTTCTTGAAGCGTAATTATAATTCATAAAACATACAATGTATGCTGTGGAGCCACATTCAATTTTATAGGAAACCGTGCAGTTAAACCGCCTTGACTATAATCTTTGCATCAACGCAGGACGTACAAATTATACGTGATTACATACATTATGCAACGTTTAAGATAAATCTCCGATCGCTCGGATTAAAAGTTTGCATGCGCTAGGTTATGCAATGTGCAGTGCTTCTTTATTTTGTCATCGGTTTGTTTCACATATTCATTGATACTGAATATTCTTATTTGTTTATAAATGATTGCACTCCATTTATAAACACTAAATGAGTCATAACAATCACATTGAACAGTCAAAAATGGGAAATATCATGCGCAACTCCATCTCCTCTAATTATACCGCAAAACCACTACACTCAATCTCAAATTTTGGTATTCAATCGACGCTTCATCTTTATTCACATCGATATCTAAACTCACAAAAACCGTTCAAATACTTCGGCCAAATTATGCGCGTGTAATCGCATTTGTCTGACAGCACATTTCATGGCAGGACATGCACGGCAAAATGTTTTAAATGTATGGCTGATGTTGTACGGGCGAAATGTGTGTTCGATGCTCATATGTATGTAAAATGAGTTGAGCGCACCAGGCATTATATGCAAAGACCCGCGCGGCATGCATAAGTGAAAAACTTCATGGGACGAATTTTGTTGAGCGGCAATTATAATTTTACAAGAAATTGAACAATTTGCAAGTATCAAAGCGAAGCATCAAGTGTAAATACGCGCCATATGAAACTGAGCTCAAGTTAGAGCTGTGTGGGGTTCGGTTTGACCGTTAATAAAAATCGATTAAGCCAATAGATTTTTTTTATGTTTTTAAAAGCCATTATATCCAAAGTTGGATTTAAATTATCCTATTATCTGCCGGTTTTAATCTGTCACGGCGATTGAATTTAATTAAATGACAATCTTTAACACTTTCACAAATTTATATTCAAATATCGCAGCAATATCGTAAATTTTAACCTCTTTAACATCCACCTTGTGATGTATTGGCACTTGTTTGAATAGTTGCAAAAAATAGTCGTACCAGTCTGTCAGCATTAACATTAGCGCGAACAAATGGGCGAAGTTTAGTAAAAAATAGAATTTGATTGATTTTTTGGCAAAGAAAACTCGTTTCAATTTTGAAACGTAAAAAGTGAGTTTTAGAGACTTGGCCCCAAAGAGGAAGCAAGCAATTTAGTAAAGATGGCCTCCATTTGTGACCCCGACGCAACTAAACTATATTACACGCTACTAGTTTGGATATTAATTTGATCAATTGTCATTAGGCGATCAGAAGATTCTGCATAGAACTGGATTCACTTTGGTACAAAGTTTAGAAGGTGAAGGCCAACGGAAGTATATAATTTCAATGGACTGAGAAAAAAAACAGAATAATACATACGCTTAATTCGCGTGCTTGCTAACTCGTCTTTTCATTTATTCCCGTTCCGTCGGCAAAATGATTTCAAAGTCGTTTTCAACGGTTGATTCTATAACCAAATTTTGAACGAAAAATACCACTTCGTCATCGTCGTCGTCATTAGATTCTATCTTTGACATTTAAGGGCTCTGTTCTATATCCGCCTAATGGATTCTTTGAAAAGTTATGAGATTTCTCACTTTTTCCCAGCGCATTGATACGTGCAAAATATAGATCGATCTAATCACCTCAATAAAATTTCATGAAACCAAAGCTCATCAATTGTTTGAATAGCGCCATTTATTTGAATCAATAATTCAGATGGTGACATTACAACAGTGCGACGGCACTGTGAGCCACTCAATATGGCTATTCCAATCCATTAAGAAATTAGTGTGTGGTTAGACCAATTGGACGGTTTCTTGTTTTCTTCTCTCTTTCTCTTTCGCTCTTGTTTAGTAATTGATTATTTACTATGGGCGCAGCCATCGAATATGGCAAACAAGTGCACGAAATAGCGACGAATATAAATGTCTACATCTTTAATTCCTTAAATGCGATTTGCTCGAGACGAATAAATTTTTTTCCGTTAGCCAGCAGCACTTTTGCCCTCCGAAATCACTCTAGTGTTTTCGAAGCTAATGCTGTGATAAAACCCAAAACGAAATAAATCAATTTGGAGTGTTTGTGTTATTTTTTTTCTTTTTGTTCTGTATTGCGCAGTGAAATATTTACATTGCTAATTTGATGCCGTCGCTATTGTTGAGCTTCAAAACTAACGCCAAATTTCATTAATCTAGTTGGCCTTTTATGGTGGACGCTCCGAAAAATTGAGTTCAAGAAAATTGAATAATTCTTCACCGTTTCGTTTAGAAGCACACACCCTCGCACGCCATCGAATCAATCGATAATTCGAACATGGTTGAAGTGAGAAAAAAAATAACAACTCCAACCAATTTTAACCCGAATTGAAATGCATGTTCTTTAATTGCTATCATGGCAAACACGGTTGAATGAGCATAATTTTTAATTAGTTGACACATCGGTGCGCCGGAAAAAGTGAGTTTCAAACAAAAAAGACAACAGCAGCATTCAACCCACATACACACGATTCCCGTGCTGTCGGGAGGATTCGGAGAGTACGAACACAAAAAGTTACACATTACTCTCGGCACTATGTTGGAAAGTCGATTGGACAGCAGCGAATCATCCAAAATGTATGTTACTACATGCCACTCGCATTCAGAACAAATTGCGTTTAGCCAACAAATAATATCTTTGGCGTTTTCATACATCGACATATAGATTGTGTGTGGATATTTAGTGTGGTCCCATTGTTTGGAAGCACACTGGCATAGTTACGTATACTATACCATGCATAACCGCTCAGCAACAACGAAACATTGCAGGAACTTTAACAATTCGGAAAAATATTCGTGGATACGAAAATCAAACAGCTTTATTGATTTTTTTCTCTCTCTCTCTCACGGTGGTTTTTTTGTGGTATGTGTCTTTCGAGCTGGCGTGCGCTATATTGTATTCGAACTGAAACTGCGGCCGAAACGACATGAGAGCCGAACAAGCATGTATACAGAAAAATTGACACAAAATTTTATATGTGTCAGCTTTTTGGTAGAACCCATAAATTTTCTGCTTCAATCAATGGTATTTTTCGAATCAAGGCATATTTATAGCCTCAACAACAGTGCAAAAGGTTGTATTTGTTGTTAGTATTTTTTTCCGTATATTTTGTCATTGCGTTCCGATACCATGACGTATTTTGCATTCACGCACTACGCTTTGATTCGCTGTCTATTTAGGTGTGGTTGCCTTGTGAAAAATACAGCATGTGTTTTATTTTTTCTAAGCATTTTTATAGCAAAACTAAAAGAACCATGTTAATCCTTATGAAATGTTGCAAAAGGTTACAAAATTACTTAACGAATGGGTTTTATATAAGATTTTTTTGGAATTCAAATGTCATAACTAATGAACTACTTGGAAAACGGAAGTATGCTGTCAAAACCCTTTTCAAATCCAATTGAGAAAAAAGAGAGTTTAATGGCTCGCACAAAGCAATGAGTCAGCCAGTCAGCCAGTCAGTGTCTGGCGTAATCAAAATTAGCATTTGAATAGCCATTGGGGAAAATGAGACATTTCACATTTCATTAGTTCGATAAGATCACAGTGTCACTATATGCACTAAACAGTGTTCATTGTTCATCAAAAAAGGTAATTCAACTTTTATATGGAGTTTATATTGTGGTCAGTTGATATTCTCAAGATAAATTACAATCAAGCAACACCTTTAAACCACACGCATATATATATATAGGCGTTGTAAATCATGCTGTCACTGCCATTCCGTCGGCATTATCATGCCATTGCTAAGTACCTCTTTCACCGAAATTCTCTGCTGTGCTTCG